GTCTGGGATAAATAATAAAAAATGGATGTCATGAGTCATAGGTAATGCACGCTTTTGGTCTCAATGGGTACTTTCCACCCTCTAAAGTGTGCCAGTTTGCACACTCACAGGGTATGAGATTGCTTAGTCTCCAGATCTGAGTCAGTAACACTGCATCAGGCACTTAACAATTTTTTAAGAGGCTAGACCTCATATTAGGTGTTCTACACACACACACACACACACACACATACATACAAACCCAAAATGCCCAAAAAAAAAAAAAAAGGGACATAAACTTCTAGAGGTGATGTTACTGTTTCATGGGTGTATGTATCTATCCAAATTCATCAAATTGTCTACATTAACCAGGTGCAGTATATTATTGTATATCAATTATACCCCCAGTAAAGCTATTTTAAAATAAATATGGCAAATCTGAACGGAAACAATGACATCTCATTTTTGTATTTTGTAGTTTAATAATGAAGGTGAGCATCTTCTAATAGGTTTATTTGCTGGCCATTTGTAATTCATTTTCTGAGAATGACTTGTTCATACTTTTGCCTATATCCCCCATTTTTCTACTAATTCTCCTTATTTATATTTATTCACATGTATTATTATTACTAGTATTATTTATGTACTATATTAGAAAATGTTTAGCTCTATGTAGATCAGAATGTGGCTTTTGATATAAAAACTCTTTCAAGGACAAAATGACCCTCATGTGTGCTGGGTAGCGTAGAGCAATACACAGCTGGCAGATAACTACACCAGGATCGTCTCAGTAGCTTCAGAGTCACTTGAGAAATGTAAACATCATTAGAAATCTAGGAAATGGCTTTTTTCTGTGACCGTTAAATCCTTCCCTCCTTCTCAAGGAGGTTGAATAGGCAGCTGCCAGGAAAACTTCCTCTCCCCTCTAACAAGTTATTCTGACAAAGCAGAGTTATCTGAATGGAGATGCAAGAAGTATTTCATCAGTGTCATCTCCTGCGGCTGGCTTCCTTAGCCTCTTCCTCTGAACACTTCCCAGATCTTGTTTACATGTCAAAGGGAGATGTCAGATGGTTCTGGCCCTGAATTGAATATTTATAGCTGATTTTTCTAAAGAAGCCTCATGTTATTTACCTGCCTGTCAGGTGCCCAAGGACACGGTGTGCACATCTAATGATTTCAAGGCAAATGCTCTTTTACCCAAGGACATTTTAAAGTTTAAATGTGAAAATAAGCCCTCGCCTACGCTCTACCAATTCTTCAGAAACAAAAGCCTAACCAAGAGTATCGGGCCCAAACTCTAGTGACACATTAAGAATACTCTTCACCTTTCTCCCTATTACCTGTTCATTTTATTTTCACAGACACCAGGAGTAAAGGGAGCTCTGAGCACCTTTTCCAGAGGCACTATTTCTGTTCCCTTAACCTTGTCCAACAGGAAAAAGCAGAACAATGAGAAAAAGAAGTAATGTGATAAAAGGGACAGAGTGACTGAAAAACTTATAGGTCAAAGACAGTAATAGATTTTTAGGGCTGATTTATTCAAACTTCAGCTTTTAATTGTTGAAATAAGCATAAAAGAAAGATCATATGAAATAAGATTATAATAAATGAGATCAGCCTCCTACTGAGTATTTTTTTTTAACAAACCAAATCTTATTACTGCACAGGAGTGCTGTTCTTCAAAGCAGTTACCTTGGAAGGGTGTGTGATGATTCCATGTATGTGGCAAGTGTTCAAAACGGTTGAAGACTCCCCTTGGATTGCCTTTAGGGCAGTTTACACATTCACCAGAAAACAGATCATTACTTTATAATTCATGAGCCAAAATCAGTAATGCCTTGCTTAATCGCCCGTATTTCACCACATAAAAAATATTAAATCCATCCTCAAAGGATGAATATTCACTATGAAAAGGGGAAGTGAAAGAATGATACATCACCAGCTCTGGAGACAATTTGCATTGGCAGTGGTAAGTTCATTTTGAAAAATCACAATTTATTTTGAAGGACTACCACTTGTTTGGTGGCACAAACTCTGAAAAATATTATTTACTAATTATACCTCACAAATACTCCTTATCAGAGGGTGATAAGGAGTATTTCTTCCTTCAACCCATGACCCTATAATCCTTGCTCACCCTCAACAGTTTTCCGGATAGGGTATTCCTACTGTGGTCAATTTTCTATGCGATCTGCCTCCTGCCTCTCAACCTTAGTCTCTTAAATCTTAGCTACTGATTGGATCTCACTGACACAACTGACCTTCTCTTTGCTTTAATCCAAACTCAGCCAGTTCCTAAACAGAAGCTGGAGGGAAACAAAGCCAGAATGAGAACTAGCAGTTATGAGAAGATAAAATTTGCAAGGCCTGAATTCTTCCCCCAAGACCTTGTCCTCCCTGTCTGCAGAGAGGCATTCAGGATTCCATCGGCCTGGCTAACAGGAGATGTCAGCAGGAATTTAGCAGACTTGGGTTACACCATGCTCTCTAAGTTAATACAACAATGGAGAATGCAGCTGTAATGCATTGTTCTGGCAAGGCCAAATTATTTGTCCAACATGGGATTCATTAGCACCTCATTCATTATTAAACTGGAAAACAGTTTGGTTGGATTCCCGAAAGGGTCAGCTGCCAGATGCAAACTCAGATATGAAATCATCATGTTCTTGCAACACTAGGAATATAATATATGAACTGAATAAAGGACCTATCAAGGAAAATAAAAGCCATGTGAATTCTAAGAGTTTGCCTCCACTTCCGTAGTTGAATAAAAGTGCCCCCCCAAAAGAAAAAAATTTTTTAAAGGTTTTCCAATGTTCCCCCATGCCTTAAGTCTTCCTAATTTGATGGGAAGAAGAAGGGAAAATTCCATAACAAGTTGAACCAAAATGACACTAAAGAGATTAACATCTCAGTAATTCCAAGACCAAACAGGTGTAGAGATCAAGATATGTGCCATAGTTCACACACTCTACTCACTCGGCCAGAGTTAAAGGGAAACTGGTGGATTCTGTGCCCTCATGAAGGTGATATGAAGCCAAGTTTCTCAAACAATCACTGGCCCGAAATGCCACACACACCCAAAACAGGGTCAACTTCATGCTACAAAATAAAAACCTTCACTTTCAGATGTAGAAAGAACACCGTAAAGTTGGAATTAAAGACAAAGTTTTGACTTTGCACATTCGTGAAACAAACATTCCTCTGAGACTCTGAGATATTAATAGAACATTTGAGTAGTGGGTATGGCTGGTTGGAAGCATTAGGTATCACATCACAGAATTCTTTCTTTTAAAAATTTCATTTATTTGGGGGAGGGGGGAAAACGAAAAAAATATTTATTTATTTTTATTTATTTATTTATTTATTTATTTAAGAAAGCTAGGTAGCTAGCTGGATTCTGGTAACACAAAACTCTTTATTATACCTTCACTGATTCTGCCTACAATTTTCCATGGGCCAAATTCCAACTGCCAGGGCAACTGGCCAGGTGTGTTCTGGCTCTTAGCCATAGTCTATGCCAACACCAAACAAAACATGTTTATTTGGAACACAGCCTGGAATGTCTTTAGATTTGTTAGAAGGAAGAAAGGCCTGTTCTCAGGAGTGCAAAGAATGCCCGTGAAATCTAACCTCCACGTGTTAGCTCCTGTCAGGAGCACAGGGCACGCAGGTTTGGAGGTACAGAATACTTGTTTCCTGGGGAAACCCACCTCAAGAACATGAACACAACAAAAATAAGGGCAGTGTGAATCTTCCTGGTGTCACAGCACAGTCCCTCTTTCTTTCCCACCACGTTTTTCACATCTGCTTGAATGCGCATAACAGCTCCTACCTTTGCACAGCTGCTTTTGGAATTCTACAGTTTCCCTTTACTACTGCAAACAAAGACAAAACCTTATTATAAACCTTTTGCCTAGTCCATGGGCAGAGGCATTTCCTCTGGATTTTAATCTCCCAAAACAGAAAGGAAGAGGAAGAAAAAGAACCTGTCCACAGACGATCTGCCGTGAACCGCAGGTTCAGATTCATTTCAGGGTTTGTCTAGCACACACTCAAGGGAGAAGGTGCAGAAAGCTTCTGGAAACCTGTTTGGTGGGATGTACTGAGCATACTTGCTTCCAAAAATACAAGCATTGGCATTTTTAAGTCTGACAAAATATTTAAAATACATAGAAAAATAAGAAGAATAGTATCACAAACACCAGTGTACACGCAAGCCAGATTTAACAAGTTTGCCAAATTTCCTTCTAATTTTTAAACATATAATATAATAACATATAATATTTTAAAAGTTGTAGTAGTTCCTTTTATGCCCTTCCCTGAAGATATTCCTCACTCAACCTGCCTACTCAGAGGTAACCACTATCCAGAAATTGATGTGGTTCCTTGCCATCCACGTCTTTATATTGTTAACACATATTCAGTCAAGGATTCGCAGCAAAACACTGTATTGTTTTGCAGCCCAATTTAAATATGTGTAAATATACACAATCACTGGGTATACATACTTAATGGATAATATGGTATATATGGCACATATGTAATGTATGAGTATATGGCATCCATAAGGTATACACACTATACAGTATATACATATAGTGTATTTATGTGCGAATATCTATAAAGTATATATATGCATACACACCTTGTATGTAGTGTGGGGGATGTATGTTCATGTAGACTTTAAACTAATTTTCTTTCCTTTCCTTTTATTCTTCTATAATTAAAAAAAATCAAAAGATATCTAAATATACTGAATTTGTCAACAATGCTGGACCTGACCAGACAGCCAGGAACCAGACTTTCAAAGCAATCTAAAAATCTTACTGAAGAAACCATTTTCCAATAAGAACAACTTCTTACATTGCCCTTCATGCACAGATAAAATCACTCATCAGGTAAACTTCCATAAACACCATAAAGAATTTTGTTAGAGTTCATCTTAGTAGTCAATCTAGTAAACTGGTCATTTAAACTTTCATTTGTAACTGTTTTTGAGTACAGTAGTTATTTACCTGACAGAATCAGGAGTTCAATGATCTCTGCATCTCCCAGAAATGCGGCCACATGAAGCGGGGTTCGTTTCTCAGAATCCTAAAACAAACAATGTCAAAGATATACAACAGGTCAGTGGCGACTGGAGGTGGCTTTTATAGACATACATAAAAAGAGGTAACACTCACTCCAAGGTCGATGCTTGTGGAAGAGCACAAAGGCCAAACACCTACTCAGCTGAGTTCCAGTTATACATTTCCTCTCCATATACCCTCCAGTCACACTGCAGAGCGAGTATTTGCCTACCTGATCCTTTTACTAAAGCCCCGCTCAGCCAAGGATGGACCATTATGCACTGGATGATCAATTTCAATTTACAGTACTTTTTAAACCTTTAGTATGATAATAAAATAAAATAAAAATAATGTTCAAACCCCTTTAACCTGTCTTAGCAACACAGTTCAAAGCTTTCAGTCATTTATTTTCTTTCTAAGAGAACAAAGTGGAATGGTTCACAAGGACATTAAACATAAGTACAGTCATTTCTCCTTTGTCTTCATTAACTATTGCCTAGACTATTGCTCATTCGCTTATTCATGTAATCCTTACTGAATGCCTACTCTGCGCCAGGAACCTAATTCTGAGACTACAGCAGGCCCTAGCCCTCACTCCCATTCAGGCAGGAGGCTGACAACAGTCAAATAAGTAAATGACACACAAATCATTTCAAATGATGATACAGGCTATGTCAAAATTAAAACAGGGTATGGGATTTAACAGGGGCGATCATAATAAAAGCAGCCAGATGTTGACATTTAAGCTAAGAGATGAGGTAGACATTACCATCTTTGTTTTATATTTGACAATAGAAGATCGGGGCAAATAAATTAAGAAATTTCCTCCAGACCTCACAGATGTATAAGCAGAGCCAAGATAGGACCTTCACCTGTCAGACTCCAATCTGTGTCCTTGGCAAGGCATTTAATATGCTTTGCTATGAGGCAGCATAGTAATATGCAAGGGAGAAAATATTGCTTCCTAATCTATAAGTTGGAGCTAATAATATCTACTTTAGAGGACTGATAAGAGAAACCAAGATAATGTAAACAAGTAAAGCCCTCAGCAAGCAGGAAGCAAGTGCACACAGCTGTGATCCATGCATATCTATCACTGTCCCCAGCATAGATGGCTGTGTGATATTTTCTCTCCAAGACTGAAAAGTCCCTTGGGTGAAGAACAACTCTTTCTCCCCTTTCCCATAGTATCAACATACTAGTGCTCAGCATAATTGGCTGAACGGAACTACTCTGTGTGTGTGAACTCTTCCACAAACTCCCGTTGACTACTCTTAGCAATGGTGACCAAAGCCTGTATGCTGTCTTTAAGGTTTTTCCAAAAACTAGCCTGGATGTTAGTTTCGAGATTCTTGGATTCACTATTGATTTTACTCTTCATTCCTATTATCTTGATTATACAATTGACCTAACAACCCTTCATTAGCCCCAGGACGTTATTCTATTTTCTGATGATGCAGGCCCTCTGCTCTTTCTCTGACTCATTTACACTACTGCTTTTAGGCATTTCATAACTTACTAAAAGATAAGACAGATGGCAGGCAGGGGACATAACAAGAATTGATCTTTAAACCACTCTATTTGTTAGGTCTGGTAAATGGGTTTTATGAAGTGATGAAATAACATTAAGTGGATAAAAAGAGCCGTTTGTATTAGCTGGAAACTTTATATTGTCTGTGTATGGCTGTAGGCAATTACCGTGGACAAGTGGAAAATGAAGTCATGCAGCTATGAAATAATGGCATGCCTTGGAAAATTCAGTAGGACATACAACCATGATCAGCTCTGTTATAGCTACATCACCCTATCTTTAAAAATAAAGATTCAATGTTTGAAAACATGTTTGCTTATTTGAGAATCAAGGGTACTAATTTGTGCAGTGAACTATTCAAAAAACTGAGATCAGACTTTCGCAAATGTTCTATATCTCTATTTCTTCTATTGATATCCCTACAGACATTTTCTATTTTAGCCTCGTATTACCTTTAAATTTTCACTAGGTCTACTTAAAAATTTCCCTTGGGATTTTCAATAAAAAATTATGTAATTATATGTTCATATGGAAATTGAATTAGTTCCAGGATTTAGTTCAATAAATTAAACCTCGCCTAAGTGATTTAAGTAAGGACTATTCCAGCCTGAATTATGACTTCATTTGACCTGAAGCAAAGTCCATGCTCTAGTTAAGACCTTGGCTTCAAATAAAAAAACCCAGAAAACTCCAATATCCTTCCCTGCCTTGCAAATCTGGTTGCCTGTTATTACATGGTTCTCTTTGCTGATTCAGCTTGTTCAATCCAAAGTGTCTATAATATAAGAAGGGTGTGTTCTATGAGATCATATTATAAAAATTCTTGATTATAAATCCCAGTGTTCCTGTAAGTATGTATTTAAAGGTTTCTGGTAGTTTCCAGGACAACTATGCCCATTGATACTCTCCTTCGGTGACATGGTACAGAAGGTAACAGAAGAGAAGACCTGTATTCAGACAGCAGTCCTCTTCCTTTAGTTCTCCAAAGAGGCAAAACCATGTACAAGTTAAATTAAGAAGCAAGTTAAAGGGTGAATGACAAACCCACAGTAATCGATATGCTCAATTCAGTGAAATCAGCCTGGAGGTTGCAGTCTGTTCTCTGCCTTAGTAAAAGCCACTGTCCTTTGCCATAAGCTAAACCAACAGAGTAGGAGATGCGACGGTAGAAGAGTGACAACTCTGGAGGAAAGAAAATCATGTGAGAATATCAGTAAAAATTACATCCTTGGAGTGTCTAGAAGAAGAAACAAATCTACCTAGTAATTATAGAATATCATCTTAAAAGTTAGTGTTTCCACACTAATTCCTAAGAAATCCTGGGGGGGATGTGACAAACATACAGTAAACATCCTCTTGAATGAGCTTCTAAGAAAGTAAATAGAAAGGGGCTGGAAATGGAGAGTCCACAGCCGAAGCTGGAAACACACGGGCTTCTACTTACAAGTCAATTACATGTCAACACACCAGGGGCTTAGGACATACCACTTGCTAGAGGATGGGAGGTGACAAAGAGAACTGGAATTGAAACCTTCATACAAAGAAAGACCCTTGAAGTGGTCTTAAAGAAAGACTCCTAAAGTGAAATTGTGGGCTTTAAAAAAAAAGCCAAATACAGCTCGGCGCCAGCCACGTATACTGGCTGGCAGGTTCGAACCCTGCCTAGTTCAGCTAAACAACAATGACAACCACAACAAAAAACAGCTGGGCGTTGTGGCAGGTGCTTGTAGTCTCAGCTACTTGGGAGGCTAAGGCAAGAGAATTGCTTACACCCAAGAGTTTGAGGTTGCTGGGAGCTGTGACGCCACAGCACTCTACCCAAGGCAACATAGTTTACGAATCTGTCTCAAAAAAAAAAAAGCCAAAAACTCACATAGGCAGACAGCAAACAGATGCCTTGTCCCAGGCTCTTGGTGGGGGAATAAAAATGTCTCCCCTGAGCACTTGCACCCCTAGAGTCTGCCCTCTTGTGGCTGGGGATTTCAAATTCATAATAATCTATTCAGGCCAAGAACTTCCAAGTTGAAAATAGCCATAAAAGCTAATTCTAGAGCAATGATTCCTCTTGGGTGCCTAGAAATGGAAATAAAACCCAACTGGAGAAATATGTCCTCAATCCAGACAACCTGGGATACTCACAGATAATGTCTCCATAGAAAATGGACTCACAAGCCTAAGCCACCACACTCATGTGGAAACTACACCATAAGCAAGATCAGCAGACATAACCACCAGTGAGAACTTAAGATAATAGAAGGATCAGATGGAAATCAGCCAGGATGTTTACAGTAGCTAAGACATGAGACACAAAGCTTAAAGGTGGGGGAAAACCACTACTTCTGAAAAATAAAATTTGGGGGGGGAGGAAATATGAAGGCAGTATTATAGGAAACAATACCAAAATGTGGTGCTAGAAATCACCTAAAACTGTGGCCTAAGAGAGATGAAGACTGGAAGAGTTAAAAAGGAAGGACAGGAGAACGAAGAAATAAATACAGTGACTTCAACATAGGTTTTACAACTGTCTATGCAGCCCTGTTTTCTAGACAGACATTTATTAAGAATCTATTATATGCCAGACATTGGGATAGGTCTTAGGCATATAAAGTTTAAAATAGCTAGTCCTCTCACCCTAACGAAACTTACTGTCCAATTACCAGTGTCCAAATTTAGGACATTAGAATAAAAACAACAACGTGGAAGTGGCAGATCATGATGTTTATGATGTTGAATGACCTGTGAAAAATACCAAATGTTACCTAAAAAATGCAAACAATATAACCTACTCATCTGTACTCATCTTATTAATTTGAAATTTAAAAAATAAGAAAATACCAAATGCAATAAGATATGTCTTAGTGAATACTTTCCCCAAACCCATCCAGTTCTAAACTGGCCTGGGCAGGAAGTCTACAGTGACAAGAGATAAAAAGAACTCTTCTGAATTGAGAAATAACATCTAGTCCAAGATTCCCTAAAGGCCTCATTGGTTCCAGCTTATTTGGAGACTTTGGAAGCCCCAGACCAGACTTCAGGTCAGTTGCAGAGCCCAGCCTTTATCTTGCTGACTTGGAGGTAGTTTCTGGATCAAAATTATAATAGAGGAATTGGGACAAGAGCAGAGGAGCACTAAGCCTTGTGGATGAGCTAAACCTCTGTGTCATTGTATCCATCTTGTGCCCAAAGGACTCTGTGGACCAACAGTTGAATAGTTTCACAGGTCTTTACAACACCCATGAATACAAAAGGGGAAAATAACCCCAAAACAAACATAGTAAGATTAACACATACAGGAAATGGTTTAGCAGATTATCCAAGTATCACAAAAACGAAGATCTTCTTTCATCACCTACTAACTCTAATTCCAAATAGGGCTTTGAAAACAGATTCAGACACATGAGAAGTAAGAAGACTCAAGTTTCTCCAGAAGGAAGGAAGGTAAACCCTCCCTTTCTATGAATAGCCAAAGACACACAGGGCAGCGGGAGTCTAAG